TTTTTTTTTTTTTTTTTTTTTTTTTTTGGTAAAAAGAAGAATCGGCGAAACAGAGGAAACATTCGGGGAATATTAAAACTCATCCGTCGAAACAACTCTTGACCAACGATTTAACGGGCGTGTAATAATCCGATGGTGGTCGAATGAGAGGAAGAAGGCAGGAGGGAAGACGGATGCATCCGGTGTCGCGCATTTTTCTCAACCGGAGCCAGGCAAGAGAGAGCGTAATGACTGGTTAGCGCGAACAAAGTGGCGAAGCTGCATCAAAAGAGCAGCTCGTCCGCGTATCGCGCGCGTTTAACGAGCATGCACTTTGCCTTATCTATTTTTCTTCTTTTTTTTTTTTGTCCTGTTTTCCTGTTTTTTGTCGGTGACGCGTATCCGAGCGGACTCGGGTCCACCAGGCTCGAAACTGGAATCGAAATCCACGAACAGTAGCTGTCGCGGCATGGAAATTACGACGGGCACGAACGCCCGACCCGTTAAATTAATAGTAATTAGTTAAGCGGACGTTTGGAGCAGGGAGTGCCAGTGAAAAATTGTAACGGCCGGTGATAATAACCGGCGGCAGTTCAGGACGATTTATAAATAACGCGACAGCGTCGAAGAGAATTACGCTCGCGTTTCGCTCGTATCAGATATCCGCGGTCGCACGCGACACCGGACGCGTGTTTCCTCTAAATCGACCGTTCCAGCTCTTTTACTCCCTTTCGATTCTGCCAACCCTTTCACCTCTCGTAGTCGCAGGCCCGCCTTTAACTCTGCCACACACGCGAAACGTGTGTGCGCTCGCGATGCCTGCCATACTCGCCGTGCCCGCCGGCCACTACATCGCCACTGCTGTCCGGAAGTAACTCGTGCCACGCTACTATTACTGTAAATATACCGTCTGTGTTTCGTTCTTCCCTAAGCGGCCGGAACTTTACATGACGCAGTCACGATGAAAACTGCAACCCGATTTTATGGAATCTCTCAACTCCCGTAAACCTTGTTTCCCATCGTGGCTTCTACGTTTTAACCAATTAAACAATTACCAATTAATTCCAGGATCGAATAACTCGAGAACGAACGAGCTTAAGATAACGTCGGGGCGACTTTACTGACTGCGACGTTAACCGCACTCGCGTTTTTCCTTACCTTCCGATTCAAACTCGCGCACTCTAACGTTAGATACAATCAACAACAAATCTTCGCATCTCATTGCGATCTCGCTTTACGACACGTTCTTAAATTACCCCTGACTTATTAAGTAATTACAATTAAAAAGGTATACCTGGAGATAAGGTGCGCCGTTATTTCACAGTTACTTGGCACGAGCCAGAGTATTTTCACTTAATCACGTCGATAGAGGAAAAAGTAAGAACGAACTTTGATCCTCGTGGCTCGGCAGAACTCTATATTATGTAATCATCGGTGGAGAGCGCAAACATCGACGTTCTCGATCGATGAAGGAAGATCGTATCAATTTACCAGAAGAGCGTGGCGACGGTGTCGAATTGAATCCGCGATAGCGATACAATCCGTGTCGTTACAGCGATAATTAGCAGCCGCTTTGAAGCACTTAACTCGCTGGCCGTGCTTGGAAATTCGTATCACTTTCTCCACTGTAAATTTCAACTGAACTGGTTGTCTTCTCGTTCGTCGTTTGCGACGCGATACGCCGTGACTTTCGGTCGGGAAACATAGCGGGGACGGGCACGCTATACCGGAGAAAATTTTCGCTGATAACAACGGGACCGGAGCTAACCAACTTCGCGTGTCGCTCGAGTTCTTCGCAGATTCTTCGCAAGGACGAAATAACGAGCACCATCCGCCTCTCTCGACTCTTACCGCTCCTTTTCCTCTGCCTTTTTTCGAGTTATTTTCGTCGGTGAAAGAGTTCACAGAAATTCCAACTGTTTCGCATAGGTAGTACTATTTTCCATGTAAAATCAATAACGAGAAGCTGAGAAACGACACAATGGAAACGAAACCCGAATAATTTCTTCAAATAGCTACTTCTGTATTAGCTAGCTAGCTTATAGGTTAATTTATTTAGTGTACGGTTACGGACGTCATTTACGAAGCGTACAGTTCTACGAAAAGCTAAGACACTGCTCGAAAATAGAAGAAGGTTCGCGGAAAAAGATAAGCTTCTGAAACATGAAGATTCGTCTAGACAATTCGTTTTGCGCGAGACATTATCGAAAAGAGTATTTCGGGAAATCGGAACGGTGTATACACGTACACGTAATGACGCAACTGAATGAATAATTTATCAATTTATCGATAAATCGTACGAATCGAACGTGTTGCATTACTTACACTCGTTTAACCTTGCCCTCTGGTAGGTTTCAATGATATACGATATACCCTGGTTTCGCATAAAATGAAACGTCGACAACGTGCAATTGCACTGGCAACTATTGGAAATCAAAATTTCATACGCGATACCGCATGCACTCGATAAAATATGAAACGCATTACTACAATTAGATTCGTCAATCGCGGTTTCATTACTACATCACTGTCATATGGGTAATAGCTGTCATTAGCTGGCCGTAGCTCGTGTTCTACCGCTCGAAATGATAGTCTATAGTTTGCCTCGCTCTATTCGTAGGACGTTCGTGCAGAAACGTTCCAACTGAATTAACTTGTTTCTCGTTAACTCTGATTCTGCTTGTTGAGAAACCTGCGACGCGAAAGCAAGGCGAAAGGAGTCGACCAGGTTTGTACATCGATGTTATTGAAAAAACGGCTGCTGTCAGCAACGAGAAGGATAGAAGGAAAGGTAGAAGGAAAGGGAGAAGTAAGGAGCATTCACCTTTGGAGAAACGTCAGGAAAGCGGTGCGTCAGCTCACGTCTTGACTGAGTTTACGAGGCACCATAGCCACGAGTGTATTTGCTCGTCGAAATCCACAGGATGCCGGTTTACGGGTGACGTAAACGGGTTCTAGCAGTCGGCCTGCCGCTCGACCCGTCCTTCTGCCTTGGCCTCTGGTGGTTTATGGTCTGGTTATTCGGTTGACGCGACCCTCGCCACTTTACAAGATCCGTGCAAAGCGGGGAGTTCCGGGGAAACGCATAATAAGGTTTTCCCTGGCTCCAGAGCTCGGTTCGTTCTCGTCCAACGGATCACGGATGTCTCGTTCGCTTCTTCTTCGTTTCTACTTCTAGCTAGTTGCTCGACGTCCCGGATCGGTCATTCCTGGAAATCAGAACAACGGTTGGAATGGTTGAAAACAGGAATCCAAAGCAGGATTATTTACGAAGCTGCAGCGATACTGTTTTGGCAATTTGCCTGTTGTCTAGAAATAAATTTCCCGTTCTCGTGACCTGATAAATCGCGCATAAATTTTCTGCAGGTTCGAATCATTGTTCGAAATCATTATTGGAAGCTCGCCGTGTTATTCCGATTGCTTCGACCCACTCTGCCAATTACGGGAAGACGCGTAACGAAAAGCAAAGCGGTCGCTTATTATTCCTGGGACTGTTCGATCCAGTCTTACGTGATCAATTTGTAAGTTCGCAAGGAATAACGAGTAATCGCGAAAGGCGCGGGTCGAATCACGCCAGGATACGTTCGGAATTCGAGGGAAGTTGGAAAGTTCAGATTGTCTTTCCCTATTTCCTTAACACCGCTTCTCGTAACACACTTCCCCTCGTTGTTCGATATCTTTGAGCGGCGAGACGAAGAAACAAATTGGACGTCTTCTCGCTCGTAATCGGAAACTGGCGACGAGAGTTTTACGGTCGGACGTCGAACTACGCGGTACGCCGGATTAAAGATGTAGAAACGGGGAACGAGAAACACGGCGAGAGGACAGTGCCGATCTCGTCGAATCTCGTCGCTCGTTTTTTCATACGTTACCATATTTACGCGAATGATAAAATTCGAAGAACTCGAGAAAACTCGCGCTACCGCTAGAAAGGGCTGCGATCTTTCGAGAAGCGTGCTAATCGCGGCAAGACGAGTGGTAAACCAGACGTGATAAACGTTTGCTTGAAACGTAGCTAATTCGACGGCGAATTGTACGGTGGCAAACTAGCGGCCATGACGGTGAATTTGGTAGAGAGGCAAAGTTGAAGCCGTACGTGTCCCGGGCTCATAATCGTTGATTATTTCTTTGTTGGGGAAATTTGGATAGTTGAATCTACTCCGGGGCGACGAAGTTTCAAAGTACCAACAGCATCGTAGCAGGTTTCGACTTACAATTCGAGTCGCAACTTCGAGCCGCTCTCTTCGTGGTACGTCGAAGCAGAAATTGCTGCTTTCCCCCGCCTCGACGTTTTGGAAGCATCCTGGCAACTTCTAACCACCGTTATACACATCCTAGTTCACTCGGGGGACCAAACAATTCGCTGCTATCTCTCCCAACCGGCACTCGAGTTTCAAGCTAGTTTCAGGCCTGGCAGATAAGATGTATCTAGGAAGCTGTAAGAAAGAAGCTGCGAGAAGAATACCAAAGTACCGTAATAATTGTGTCCTACGAGCGAACGAATCCTACGATATCGCGAATATCGCGTACGTTTTGATGATCCAAACGAGAATTGCGAATTACGTACGAACAGGTACGACGCGAATAGGCAATTATGAAATTACTTGCTTTAGAACTGGGCGAACGTTTTCACGAAACTTTGTCGAAATTTCGCACTGGTATAGTCCGCGTCGAGGAAACTGTAGATTCGAAGAGGTTGAGAGAAGAGAGGAGAAAGAATTAGGTTTGTTCGGTGATTCTAGAAGACGTAGGATCTCAGAGACTTCGACAACGATTTCGTTATCGTGAAGAACCGGCCAAGTCCAAGGAGTCCTTTGAGAGACGTTACCTCGTAGCGAATACACAGGTCGCACCTTAACAAGCCCGGAACCAAGGGAAAAGAGACGCAAAGGAGGACAGACAAAAACGAGAAAAACGAATGTCGCTTAATCAACGCTTCTCACTCGACGAATTTTAAAGAAATGTCGTAGAAGTTGCGCACGCTTCCGTGGCCCTTGTCTACCTCGACGAGTAAACGAGCAAACAGAAGGTATGGAAATCAGGAAGAAGACATTCCCGAAACGAACGCTTCGCTCGATAAAGTAGTTCGAGTCGACGCGTGCCGAAACACGTACATAATTCTCGAAACCTCTTTCGAACATGAATTTTCTTCGAATCGAAATACTTTCGAGAAAATTTCGTAAATGCAATTTACTTAGCGCGTACCGTCCGTTGGAAAACGTTCGCGACGAGAGTATTTCTGAAGGAATACTTGTCGAAGAGGAGAAGGAAAAGGAGCAACGAATACACTGGTCGACGAAGAAAAGGAGAAGGAAGAGCTTGATCGACGGAGAAACGCTTTGTTCGTTGATCGGCATCGGGCCGATCGACCTTCCCCTTGGTCGAAGAATAAAGAGAAACCTTGCTGGCCTGTACAATCGGAAGGCCCCATAGTTCGTGCTCACGGAAACGTGTCTAAAGCGCTTGACCATTTATTGTCTACTCGAAGATCACCGCCAGTCTGCCATCTTCACGGACAATATCTATCCTTCGAGCTTTTATCGACTGACCGATCGATTCTACCTGATTGCGACACCATCTTTGTCATACGTGACGCCTCGTCGATGAACGCTATATAGATACGATTATAGCGACGATGTCCGATGCAGCGAAGCGTTCTCGTCGTATAAGAGCGAACGGCGAAAATGCGACGTCTGTCCGACAGCAGATTGCGCGAAACGTATCGAGTTGGAGGAAGATTTCTAGAGAGCGAAGAGAACGACAACGCGACGCGTTCGACGATCCTGCGGTATTCGATAAAAGTTGCGAAAGCGATCCGGCAGGACGGTGTGATGATTTTCTAACGTTGGAATAAGATCCAACATCACGTAGGTCAGATTCGTTTTAATACGGTTCGGCCATTTGACGACGGAGGTTCCTTTTCCGTGAAAGCTGGACGAGGTCCAGCCTGAAGCAGGACATCCACTAGGGGCGGACGTGCCTCGCCGTAATTCAAGCGGATAAGAGAGAAGGTGGTCCCGGGTCTTGGTCTGGGCAGCAAAGTCCACAAGGTGGCGGGTACATAGAGGACGCGAATGAGAAAGCCGTGTAAAAAGGATCCCGGGGATTAAGATGACAGAGGCCGCGATGGAGCACGGTCGGCCATGAACGTGATTCCTACTCTGGAGTCGATGGGTATACTTCTTGGAAGAACCGGCAGCCACTTAACTCCTTCGAGATCGATCCTTCTCAAGGTAAACTGTATGCCGGACGTGACGTACTTCGTTCGAGCCCACTTTCCTTCGGCCGCGTTACCGTTTCTGTCTCTCCTTTCCCGCCTGCCTTCTCCGGCTGTTCCGATAAAACCAAGCCGATGGAAATCCAAAGTTTGATTTATCCATCGACGATCTAGAAAATAAAAAGATAATACCCAGAAGCGGTTGATTGGCACGCGGTCGTGAGAAGCGGCATCGCGAAATCTAGCTACTATTCGTAACTGGTTCTAGACGGAGAATGCTGGCGCGAAGAAAACGCGATACCTGCTGTTCAACTTGCATTCGCTTCGGTTCGTAAAGCTCGTCGTCGTCCGCGACCGGTTGCGACGACGGTTTTCAAGCTAGGCGACATGGCACAAAGAGACACCGGTATGTCGGAGAAGGAATTTCAGCGATAGCGCCGATACGCCGTGCTTTCGATATTTCCGCATGTTAGGGGAACACGAAACCAATGAAATTCGTGGATAGTGTGCTTAATTAGGGCGCAAGTTCGGGCGATCGCAACAAGAATTCCATGGTGGGTTCGAGTTAGCAGGTACCGGACGATAAGCCAACTCGTTGGATTGGCCGGTTGGGGCGGGGTAAATCGAATCGAGAGGAAGAGGGAGCGCGCAGGGCGGAATAGCTGCCGGCAATTATAACGTTGTACGAGGCCCGAGCAGTAAATAATGGGTTTTGGGCTTGTCCGGTATTCAGCCAGAGCGTCAATCACCCTCAATCAGTTAGCGGGCTGGCTGCGACCTAAATCAGAGGGTGCGAGAGGGAGGCTGGCGAACGAGAATACGGCCGAGAGATCGAGATAAACGGAGGAGGACAGAGGGACGGACGACGAGCTTGATATCGGACCCGGTGAGTGTCAGCCGATAAAGCCGGAATGACAAAGAGGGAAAGACGGCTGGAAGACAGCTCGGAGGATGATTGAAAGGATGGCGGCTGGAAAAAGAGAGGGAAACGACAGCCAGGTATTGCGAAAGTATCGCGCGGGATCCGGCCAGCCGGCGTTCCGTGATCGCCTCTTTTCAAATGTTCGTTCACTAACGTTGAACGTGGACGTGTCGCGTCTACGGAATATTACGTTCGCCTCGAACCAGACGAGATCCGTGTTAATAAATTTCATGCATCGAAAATCCGACGATGGAAGGTCGACTGGTTAATCGCAAGTTCGAAGCCGACTAATCAATTAACGCGAGTCGAGGTGGCGCGCTTGCGAGTCGTATGAAACTGCACGTTTCATCCTCATCGCCTTCCCTCCTTGTCTCTTTCGTCTAATCTCTCCCAACGAAATTGTACGAGCTACGAGTACGAGGCGATCGCATCTGGCAAACGGCACTGTTCGAATTGAACCGCCGTCGACCTTGTCGAGTTATCGTACGCGCGCGTTATCGTTACTCCGACCGTATTGAATTCGCGACCGAACCAACCTACCGTATACGACAATCGAGAAAGTTGTCGCATCACCCCGACCCGACGACTAGGTCGCTTTCGATTCCTGTCCTCTCGCACAATGCTCGTTATCGGTGACGCAGCTTCTGTCCCGAAAATGGAAGACAACGATGAATATTGCAACACCGAGGAACGCCTCGGTGTTTCCATCCTCCCTGTCCGGCACATACATTCTCGGTTCGTTATCAGTTGGAAAGGTTTACGCGAATTAGTCACGACACGCTGAAATTCGGCGTGCAATCGCGCCAATCTCGTTTCGATAGTTTTAAAAATGATTCCACTTGGTAAAATACGCGAGCGAGAGGAAACGCGCGGCGCGGCTTACGTTCGCGAAAGATTCGATTCAAAGGGGAACAATGTAGATCGGGTTTCTACTTGCTTTCCTTTAAAACTCTCGCTCCAGGCAAACCGTTTATATCGTTCTCTGTTCCCTCCTGAGAATAGTTCCGCTGGTAGACGGTCAAAACTTCCTCCCACGCGGTTTCGTACCCGGTGTATTCTTTTCCGCGATCGACCAGCCGCGATAAGAATACCGTGCGCGTTCGTTCGTCTATCGAGCTTTAACCTTTCTTTATCGAGCAACGAAGATAACCTCGACGACTGGTCGTATCTCGTATCGAACGTGAAATCCTGCAAAACGACTCGTCGTTCCTGTCGAATCGCTCTTTCAAATCCCGATTCGTCATAATAATTTAAACGCTGTCCGTGATATTCGATTCCTGGGGATGTCGCGCACACTTACGCCTCGCATGCTCGATGAAACTACATTATGGCCGAATTATTCGGCGTAAAACAGTAAAATGTAAAAAGGCTTGACGGGCGAGACGAGCTGGGTGGAGCTTTTAAAAGCTCTCTTTAATCCCGTAGTCTCTCGATTGACCCCCCCGCTCCATCGATTTTCATCGACTTTTACGCGCACGTTTCCGTTCTTGCCTAACAGCTTTCGTTTTGCAGCTCGATCAATCCATGCTGAAATCCAATTGCTCGGATGCACCGGTCGTCGGAATAAATTCATTTCACCCTTTGATACGCAGCAAAGTATTTTGCTATCCGCTTTCCTTGCACGGTCGGTTTTAATTACGAGAAAAGTTTAAATTTATTTCGAATATCATCCGCCTCGGTTTTCTCTCGCTCGATAGTGCAACTTTTGTTCCCGTGAGATACATAGTACCGAGGAAACGTGGAGACGAACAGTCCCGGAAAAATATCCTGCAATCGATCCTTTTCGATGAAACTTACACGGTAATAGCTTTGAATTACCTAGAAACTGTGTTTGCACGTTAATGATCGGACAAATAGAAGCGCTCGTTTCGCGTGTGCGCTCGCTAAGCTTAGCTCCGCGAGTTCCTCTCTTTCGTTTAGAAATACTAGAAACCGTTCGATCTCGAACGCTTGAATTTACAAATAAAAGTAAATTACGAATGTCTATCTTTGTCCACGGTGGAATCAAATTTTCCATGGTAAAAGGTAAGAGCTCGTCGTTCCTTCTAAAAATTACATCTCCGTGTTTAGTCCCGTATAGTTTGCAACTAACGGGCGTTAAACGAACGAAAATTGACCAGCGGCTAGTCTACTTCAGCCAACTAACTGTCGCTTTGTAGCAGAGAGCGTAGCTACTCGTTTCCGCTACAAAAAACCGAAATCCCTATAGCTTGCAGAACTGTCCAGTGATGTACTAAAAACGAATCACGATATCAAAACGATCTCGTTGGGAGCATCGTCGTTCAATTTATACCCTTTCCGTGGAAACGCTATCCCGGTCGATGGTTCGGCTTGACTTCTGTCTAGCCGAAAGTGGAATCTCGTCGGAGGCGCGATTTCGTTTGACTGCCATTATCGATTCTCATTACCGTGTGTTCTCGGTGCACCTGTTTCGTTTCCATCGCAAAGCCGCGCGTCGAATTTTCCCCTTGCCGCGTCCTTCCTTCCTTCTCTTTACTCTTGCCAACTATCCCTCTCGGCTATACGGCGAACTTCGCGTAAGAACGAGTCAACAACACAGCCAGCATTTTTACATTTGCATGCAAATAAGCGGGGAT